GTTTGACCCTGTGGTGCGTACTCGTGCCACTGAAAGGAACGCGATTTCAGACAAGAGAGGACATTATGGCTGCAACGACAGCCGAGCTAAACTCCATTTCGAATAAGGCTTTCTCGGAATGCTTCCAACAATGGCGGCACCGCTGGGAGAAGTGTGTGGAGTCCCAAGGAGACTACTTTGAGGGTGATTAGGTTTCCAACGCTCCAGGTATGCCAGTTTTTATTCCCCGGTCAAAGGTCGGATACTTTTCTCACAGGCCTCGTATATAGTGTAGGTGTAACAGATTTAAAAAAAAGGTAGTTTCTAAAAGAATGGATCTTTCAGGATATTTCTCTCTCTCTCTCTTTTATGCCCTGATATTTTGATTAAGATTTTTGTGTTATTCTGCTGAATAAAAACAAACCGAAGGAATTCAATTTGGAAACATTATTTTCAATGAACTACTCATGTAAATGTACGATTTTATATGAGATACCAAATGATTATCTTTTCATGATATTACAATAAGAGTATACTGTACCTATAATGTAAATATGAGTTACATTTATGTGTATTGTTCAGTCTGTTGATTAGGGAAAAAAAAAACAATTAAAGGAAGTTTAAAAGTGTTATCCCCAAAAAAATCATACTTAAGTGATTTTTATAATTATGCTAAAAACATTTACAAAAAATTTATATAATATAGAAATTTTAAACTTGACCAGATACTCTTGGTAACATGGGCCTTAGTATGACAGAACAGAAGCAATTGGATTATAGGTTAGCACAACAACCTAACAAAGGCTAAACACTTGATCACCTTCAGACCAGTACAACTAGTCACCTGTTTCTGGATTTTTCCACTATAGAATATTTGTTAAAACTAATGGTATGTTAATATAGCTGAGAATGCCTTTAGTAAATGATATTTAGTTCTATAATTTGTGAACATGTACGTATGGGTTACATGATGATTGAAATTGAGACTTCTGTTTTTTCTTATCTCAAGCTTAATGTAAAAAGAATGTTTATATAGTTTCTCTTGCACGCATCCATAGATTTTAAAAAATCCAAAACAAAAATGTTGAATTATGTTTTTCCATAACACCTATCTGTTGGTGTTATAACTTAGATTTTTTTTTTTCAAGTGAAAGGGTGGTTTGTTGTTTAGTAATTCTATAAAACATATTTTTGAATATACGAATACTTTTATAGCATGCACACACATACGAAGCTTAGTAGTTCCATACTTCACCTTATTTTTTGTAAACTGTTATTATTCTTAGAAGTTTAAACAAGAGTTAAATGGGGACATGAACATGCTTTTATTTCTTGAACATGTAAGTTGTAGAAGATTAACATGTACATGCACTTTTTTTTTATATCTTATAGGGTTGTTATGAAAAAGTTGTAAACTTTGTGAATGGAAACTTGAAGATCATTGGTGGTGGAGCTGTGGCAATTGCTTGTTTCCAGGTGAGTTCTAGACTTTTCAACAACATTTTAACTGTAAGTGGCATCAATATTTTATTTAAAGCTAATGTATTATTTTTGTATAATGGACACAAAATACATATTTTATGTTAAAAGGAAGTGTTAAAAACTACATTGTTTCTGCTGAGTATGTTTTGCTTGGGTTTAAGATCCCTGATTAACTCTCTCAGTATGGGCTCTGTCAATTTGACCAACCACGTGACCTCTTTGTACTCATTCAAAGTCTTTATAGATCTGATACTACTAACTTTTAATATAGTGTGTATATCTTCACAAAATTCTGCAGTCCTTTAGTAAACATTGTCTTTCACATACAAAAAATCATATTTTTTATTGAAGTATTTTTAATAAACTAAAAAAAGATTTGTTCGTGAACATATCAAGTATTTGTTTTGAATAGTCTGTGTGCAAAGTGACTCGTGTTAATATTAAAAATACTTTTATTCATCTCAAAAATCTCAAATTTCATTTGTGTAATCTCTAAAACTACCTAAATACATTTCAAATGTTTGTTTTCAGTAAAACTTTATATTTTATCTGTTATTTTCTCTACCCTAATTATACAAGGTTGGTCAATTTGACTGACCTCATAACCACCAAAAAAATTTAAATAAATCTAAATTACACTCTTTTTCTTTCTAGAATGACTTCAAATTGTAATATGATACTACATTCTTTTAACCTAAGTAGCTTTAAGCTTGTAACAGTATACATCTATATATAATTAAATTTGATTGTTTTATTGGCCTTTGATTACACTTTGAACTGTGTCTAACTACTATTTACACAATTATAAGTTGTAAATTATTTCAAGAACGTGTAGTGCACACTATGCTATCGAATTACATTACCCACGAGCCACTCTGAGCTGCTTGTGTGCGTTCCTCATGAAATATTTTTATTATATTATTATTATTTATTTTACCTAGTCTAACCTTAACTAACCTAAAGAGATCCCTATTTTTACATTTTAATTACTTTTATGATAATAAATAAAGCAGAAATAAAGTACTTACCTGTGTCTTCTTTTTTTTGCTGTCGACTGTCAATGACACTTAACCCTACTTCATTTATACTAATAGTAGTAATACACAAAATAATTTTTACTTAATTAAATGATACACCAAAGATCATACAATAATAACATGCAAAAAGCAGACAAGTTCCTCTAATTATCACAATTTTTCTGGTTTTGTAACTATGCGACAAGAGCCATTACAAATTCATCCAACCTAGTTGTTATCTTTCCCGTGGGAACGAAGCTTGTACTAAAAGAGAAATTTACAATTCTCTGTTCAGAACACAACATAATATAATACTTCATTTGATAGATCAAAACCTTGACTTTCTGTTGGTTATAGATAATATAGAATTAAACGTAAGAGAGAACTATTAACAAATCCCAAAAGAGAGAATGTGACAGGTAGGTGTGGCAAGAGGGATCTGATTGTCTATTTGATGGCTCTGTAACCAAGTAAAATTGAAAGCTATAAAACTTATGGTTTGTCTGAGAAAGACGATTTTATAATGTGTAATTTATGTTAAATTTAATACTTATTGGAGGGGTGGTGAATAAAATAGAGAAGATGGTATGCCTATAGAAAATGTGTAACCTTTCTCACACTAAGTGGAAATGCAGGATTATTTTTTAAATATTGCTTTATAAAATTGAGAATTTAAAATTTATATACTATTAAAATAAGGATTATTAGCTATGATTTTATGCTATAACATAAACAAAAAGTAGTTTAGTAAAATTTTGAATGTAAGCCACTAAAACCTCATGGCATGTGCAGTAAATGATGCCTGGGCAGATAGGGTTAAAAACTAGAAGATTAAGTTTAATTAACCCATATATTGTTGTTAGGATCCCTTTATATCTAAATTGTTAAAAGTTGTAATATTTTTTTATATCAAAAGTCTTTTTTTTTTTACAAGAAGATACATTATTGAATATAACATAAAATAGGCTTTCAAATGGTGTAAATAATATTAGAGATTTGAAATTTTTTCTTGCTCATTGTTGAAGTGATTTGCATTTGGCTTTGCTTGGGGAAATTTTTAGGATTATGCAAATTTCTCAACCAGCTCTGAACAAAATTTTCAACCTAAATTTAGATTTTTTTGTCAATTGTAATTGCTAAGCTTATCTCCTAATTGATAAATTACATTATGCTGTAATGCATATTAATATAATTATTCCTTGTATATTTTTCTATTAATATTTAGCAATTTATGTTGTAACATTAGAAAAAGTAGTAACAAATTTTTCTAAACTTGGCAAAACATAATGTTACAACAACTTTAGTCCATTAATTCATTGTAATACACACACACACACACACACACACACACACACACACACACACACACACACACACACACACACACACAC